CTTTGATATGTTTATAAATACCATCTGACTCAACGTGTCGGTTAATGCATGACTCGTCGGATTGCATGGCTTTGAGGAATTCTCGGCCATTTTTGGAGTGCCAAACTCGAGAATTCACCCATTAAAGTTATTTTATCCCAAAAGAACATCTTCTTCAAATCTAAATTTCTTGGGATGTGCGTATTCCAGTTGATACTAGGTATGACTTCACCCTACGATGAAGTAATTTTAAGTAATTACAGTAGGTGGTCTAAATCATGAAATCCAAGGATTTTCAACAAATAACCTCCTATTACTCAAACAGAACCCAGGCTGCAGCTCCCAAGTTCTTTTCGTTCTTCATTATAGGGCGTATTGCTATTTCAAAAGGAATACTACGTTGTTTAGAAATATCAGCGTTCTTAGCAAAAGGGAAAATTCCGAAAAAGCGAAGATCAGGCGTACTAGACACACTCAAATTGTAAATCCAGAGGAAGCCAGTTCATCGCAAAAAACCGAATGAATCAAGCAGCACAAGTAGAAGTACGTTGAAAAATACTCGTTTTATAAAGTCCCGTCGTGGACAGAATGGGAAACTTTGGCCAGTTTTTTGACATCCCTAGAAATTAGGGCTATATCTTCTGCTAAAAATGAAAGAACCAACTTTTCTTTATATACCGGAGCAGGTTTCAGTGTATTTCTTTACTTCTAGGCTTAGTTCTTACCTTACAAATACTGAGCAGAGTGCAGAATATCATCGATGATTTTGAGAAGACTAGTAGTCTTCGGTCTGTTCCGTTTCAAGTTCTTCTATTCATTGATTCTGCTCTATAGATGGAAACTGTTGGGACACGGTTTGACAGGGAAAATTGACGGCATATCTAAGCTGTTTGTATACACTCTTGTAAATGGTCATTATTTTCAGTGATATAACACAAATTATAGCCTTATAAGTTCATTGCTCAATTTTAGGGTAAAAATCTTGGCAGATTTGCAAAATAGAATTTTATAAACTTATTTTGCTCTTCCTTCCCCAAAAGAATGCGGTATGTGATACTTGCACTAAACTCAATTTCATGAAAGCAAAAAAAACTGTCTGTTCTCGGAACATTTATAATTAAAACGTTTTCGCTTTCTGTTAGTGTTCATTTACAGTACAACACGGAGAAACAAGAAGTTCTTTCCGCAGCTTTTCAACAGACGTTGTATTTAGCCCCATTTTGTCCCGTTTTGTCCCCCAGTATACTGATTTGAACCGAAGTCTTTGCTAGTAAATAGCACTTCGCACTTCATCTCAACTCAATGAACAAAATAAACAACCTTAAATGACACGAACAGAAGCGAATATGCGTGCCCCAGGTTCTTGTTGTAAAGAAGAGGAAGATATACCGCCCTGTTATTTTGCCATCCGTGCCCGTGACAAGAAACCTGGTCCCAGTTCCTCTACGAGCATTCAGGCTGCCACGTCAAGGTCACACGTCGTTATTTCAGGGGCGCGCGTAGGAGACAGACGATAAGATAGCGTGAGAATGGACGTGGCGTGGACAGGGACCAATCACAAATTGCCACCCCGCCCTACCAACCCCATTTATGCGTAGCCAACGCTTGCTGTTTTCTCTTTTACTCTGACGATGGCTCCTCGTGTGGAGCCGAAAGCTCAGAATAAGACTATCGTTTCAGAGGTCGAATCTTCCTCTTCTTTACAACCTCAAATGCGTGCTAAATTACCCACTCAAATTTTGATCTTCATATTTCATCAGATACTGTGGTAAAACAGCAATCAATAAACTTTGTAGGTCACTACGGGAGGCGAAACATGTCCTGGAGATGGATACGGCGGACAAGCGTGCTGCAGAGAAAATCGACGTGGACGCAGCCGAACTCAGCCAGTTCTCCCGTCAGCTGGGCAGCTACCATGCGACCGAACTCATGGGCACATGGTTTGACCAATTGCATTTTGAACTTCTATCATTCCATTGAACTACCTATTTTGCCGTATTAATTTTGTATCATGAATTTTAAGGCGAAGTGAAAACTCCCCATTTACCATTATTTTTGAGTTTTTGAGTGCTAATTCACCGGAGATAATCAGAAAATATACAATCCACCCTGCGTAGTGGTTACGGAGACACACTTAGTCAGATGAAAATGAGTAGTGCCAGTCTAATAAAATACTTGAGCCACAGTTAGTTAAGTTTAATGTATGATGTATGAGTCAATTTTGGGAGAATTCATCCCAAAATTAGGGATGTTGAAGTACATATCCACAAGAGCGCACTGTCGTTTCATCCAAAATCAAACCTTTTCGGTGAATTAACATTTCGCATTACTGTCAATTTTCAGCTGACGGGAGGTTTGCACGAAAGAGACTGACCTTCTGACAAGACAGAGCCTTTCAAATTACTTCCTAGAACAATGTAACAGAGAAGTTGCAGTGAGGAACGCCCTTCTCGAAGAGGTTGTCCTCTACACCTGTGTTAATTCATTTAAGAGTAGACTGGACTCGTAGCAAACACACCACTCCACATATACATTATATCATACTACTCACGATGAGCGAGTAGTAAAGTTTTATTACTATTTTGACGGTTCAACAACGACTGTGTCAACCCGCAACTTGTAATTGACGTACATTTAAAGTTTGCTTTGTATCCGTGTATTTCCTATCATCTTGTTACCAGTAGGGCATTCAAAGGTGCACGCCTAAGTTTCCCTCAATAAACTGATACTGATTTAAAGCATGGTAGAACCAGGCACTTTGGGCGACACTTGTGCGTTAATTGGTGCCTTAAGACATGTGAATCTCGCTGAAGAAAGAATGGTAGGTAGAGGGGTCTTGTCTAGGCTTACGGGCATTCCCTCACCGGAGACAAACGGACACGCAACACGATAGTGTAGCCCGTTAAAACTTGCCAACTTACTTATCTTCCATTTTATGAATAACCTGGACTGTTGCTTCGTCCTTGACGATTCCTTTACCCACGCTAATACGCCAACTTTGCGCGGGCATCCCCTTAAACTACACCCCGGCAAAGCAAGTGTCGACTGACGAAAGTTCTTCTTCAGCAACAGAGTAGTTATACCAGCCAATATTGTTCGATAATATAGTTGCAAGCCTGATCCTGCCATGCGAGCGATGTTAGAAGTATGCACTTTGTTTTAATTACGCCTTCGCGAGGCGGCCTTGAACTACGCCCCGGCAAAGCGAAGATCGATGGACGAAAATTCTTCTTCAGAGTAGTTGCAGCGTGGAACTTCCTTCGCGAAGAGGTTGTCCTCTCCACCTGCGTTAATTCATGTAAGAGTAGACTGGACATGCACTTACCACATCGCAATACGTCTCCCATGTAACAAAAAGAAATAAATTTACATTATACTCGCGATCGAGTCGTCCTCTTCTCAATTACTTCCTGGGACTCGCAGGTTCACTTGTATTGGCAATGGCGGGTTTGTTTTTCAATGCAGTGAAGAACCCATTTTCCAACATTTGTTTCTTATCTTTGTTCTTCATAGCATTCCATTGTTCTAACAGCCAGTGGAAACTAGGTGTGGCTATGCCTAACTTCCAATATCTTGTTCTCCCGACCCCGACCCTCAGCTGCACAGTCCCGTTAACCTGGAAGGAGTTCACGAAGGCGAATTGCGAAAAGTCCAAGAAATATCGACAGGCCAGCACCAAGCTACGCGAGGAAGCCGTATGGTACAGCAGAACAGTTGTGGACGCATTGGCCAGGCGCTGGGCGGAAGCAAGTGCTGCCCTGTCGGCGCGCATCCGGGAGGTGACGATGGCAAAATGCGAGATCGGGGCGAGTCTTGAGCAGGTGTGTGCGAATATTTATATATGCATGCATACACAGTAGATTACCTTTCTCATGAAATGTCACCCGGAATATATTTTATGGAAAAATACATAAAAATTATTAATTATCCTCATTTGGTAGCAAATTGCGCCTTCTTTAAATGTTGCACTTAAAGAAGGGGTATCTTTCGACATTAAAAAGTTTTTAATCATGAGCCATTTTACGATTTTGAGGTGTTTATTCATTATACATCACATCCGCCAATTTATTAACATGCTCCAAATCTTTTGCAACATTTCATGAGAACTATGTGACTTCTTCCTTAAACTGAAGGTGAACACCTACTTTCCTTAAACAGGATGTACACAGCGCGCAGTTTGTAAACGTTGTATTCAAGTATGCCCGTCAGTAGGTTTAAAAAGCATTCGGCAATCTTGGAACTTTTTTAAAGCCGATAGATACCCCTTCTTTAAGCATAAAATTTAAAGAAGGCGCAATTTGCTATGAAAAGAGTACAAGGAATATTTTTTCGTTTATTTTTCCTTGAAATATAGTTGAAATGATAGGAGCAGTCCAACTTAATGATAAATATGCATACTACTTAAGTAGCCACTTTTTACGGTATATACATTGTATCCGCGGTCCGGAAGAAGCCCGTTAAGAAGCCGGCATCCTCATGTGACCAAAATATGTCGAGATTGTTGCAACCACACGTCATTAATATGTTTTAATCGAGATCACATTTCAGAATTCCGGGTGGCATTTAATGAGATAGGGAATTTACTGTAGAACCCACCTCAAATATACAGTGTGGCCGGTATTGCATGCAAAATTCCGAAATTTGGAAATATTGACAATCACTCGCAAATTGCTATTAAGTTGGGTAGTAATACCGACTATCGTGCAGCCTAATCTCAAATCGTTTCAGTCACGACGGAATGCCAACTTTTTAAATAGCTCTTTTGAAAAATGTTGAATAATTATATTCTGTAAAAAAATGACTAATCAGGTAGTATGCATTGAACGCATTAGTTTTGACTGCCTTTATAAATGCAAATAGCTTTATAGAAATTACTCACAAAAGTATTCTTTTTGCACTCTTTTGGTACAAAATTACGTCTTCTTCAAACTATATACTTAAACAAATGATATATTTCATTTTTAAATATTTGTGAATTGCCTAATGGCTTTGAAACCTAGAAACCCTTACAACTGAATTCAAGGTTTTCAACCTGCATGCTGTGCACATCCTTATGGTGTGAGGAAGAAGTCACTTGGTTCTCATAAAATTTTGCGATAGATGTGGACCACGCTGTATACATTAAAGGCAGCATTAAAAAATTGCCAGATGCGATGTATTATGAATGAACACTTCATAGTCGTAAAACATCTGACAGTTTTTTTTAAAGCCGAAATATACCCTTCCTTTAAGCAGAAATTTTTGGAAAAGGCGTAATTTGCCACCAAGTGAGTACAAGAATGAATAATTTTGTGAACGTTTTCTATAAAATATATTTGAGTTTATAAAGGAAGTCCTTTTCAGCGATTTAAATGGATACTTACGTAAGTAGCCATTTTTTTACAGAATAAACATGTTGTAAGCGGACAGAAGGCAATTCCTTAAAAATCCAATATCCTGACGTGACTAAAGTGATGTGAGATCAAGCTGCACGATAATAATTAATACGACCGTAGTTAATACCGTTTTAGGAGTGACTATCAGTCTTTCGCAAATTTTGGAATTTTGCATGAGATGTCGGCCGTGCCTTAAACGTAAAAATTTTGCTCAAATTGATGCTCCCTTCTGTCTACAGGTAATGGCTGAGATTGCGGAAGTGGAAAGCAACATTGCAATGTTGAGAAAGAGCATTGCGGACAAAGAGGAGCCGAGACGAATTGCGGAGACCCGGCTCAGTCTGAGATTGAATCGTAAACGTTATGAGAACTGCCAGGATTCTGCTTATACAAGGTAAGTTAGGGGAACATCATTAGAAAACAAATAGGCAGAGAGAGAGAGAGAAAGGGTAAGTAAACAATTAGTGAATGTATTTTTCCAATTTCATCCGTCCTCGTAATATCACGTATGATTTAATTTGCAAACGTATACAAAGCGCACTGAAAGACGCTAAAAATGCAAGTTAGAAATGAGTTGCAGACATAGGACAGAATTCTTTTTTGTTAAGATCCATTAACTGGTTCGCAGTCAGCGATAAATATAACAAAAAGTTGTTGGTGAACCGTCATATATTTCGCCAAATCCATCGTTTAAGGCAGTGAACTACCTAAAGAAGCTGCATTCTTTTTTTCCATTCTTTGACACTAAATCAAAGATTCTGAAAGATCAGAGACGTAGTTTACTATTCACAGACCCTGGTGGTTAAGCTAAGCGAAGATGTCCAAGGAAATTGAGTGAGAACGATTCATGTAATTACATTTGGCGATATATTTCTAAAACACCCTCATCCTTTAGTTTGTCATTTGAATTTACCCAACGATCGCGAAAACTGCTTCCTAGCCATTATCAGGGATCTAAAATAATTGTACGGCATTTGTGAATGTCAATAGTTTCTAGGTAGTTGCTTATGTCCGGGTTGCCCGAGGTAAGGTATTACTAATAAACAAAAGCTACTTGTAAGGTTTCAGTAGGTCGAATTTACGTCAATCCAAACACTTGTTTGATTATGTTAACCAGTAGGAGTTGATATAGTAGTTTACTTTGTCTATAGGCTTCCTTCTTGGTCTTTTTGTCCTTTCCGCAGCAGTTTTGTTGTCACGCACCGGTACGGCGCCTGGTGTGTCCTCTCATTTCCCTTTATGCACGAAAACCGGTACGACACATGGCAGGATAGTCTTTTGCCAATGGGTGGACCAACAACAACAAATTTCTACCTTTTTCAAAAAATTAAACGTACATTTGGATACCTTCTTATTAATAATCCGGAAAGCTAAATTTAGCAACGAATCAGAATTTTTCAAGGAACATTTTCTATTATTTGGAAGCGCATAGTCAAACTCGGGGCTTCCAAGCCTTTCTTGAACACAATGACCAAAGGTCCTGGGTTCAAATCTCGGGGGTGCCAACCCTCTAGATTGGGTATGACTGGCTGATGACGGCTAATAATCCAGAAATGGCCATTCCAGTCTAACGCAATCACCGAAGGTCCCGGGTTCAAATCTCGGGGCTGCCAACCCTGAATTTGGGTATGACTGGCTGATGACGGCTAATAAGCCAGAAATGGCCATTCCGGTGCAATTAGCGAAGGTCCCGGGTTCAAATCTCGGGGGTGCCAACCCTCGAGAACAATGACCGTAGGTCCCGGGTTCAATTCTCTGATGTGCCAACCCTCGAGATTTTGACCGTAGGTCCCCGGTTCAAATCTCGGGGGTGCCAACGCTCGAGATTAAGGGTGGTAAAGCCAATGACCAAAGGTCCCGGGTTCGAATCTCGGGGGTTCCGCCACCTGAGATTGAGTATTAACTGGCTGATGACGGCTAATAAGCCAGAAATGGCCATTCCAGTCTCCCTTTGTTGTGTCGAGTCAAACTGGTCCATTTATGTGCCGCACCTACCTAGAAATGTTTATGGGCAAGACTGTCTTTTAGGGCTTTCTCTATATCTTTTCCCCATTGTCTTACGAAATTGTGGTTATTGGTTGATGAGTATTAAATAAATATGTACTTGTGTCGAAAGTGACCAAGCAACATTCAATTACAGCCACATAGTTGTTTTAATGAGCTGAATAGTATAAACTCCAGCACCATATACTCCTCTTTCTCAGGCAACTGATGCCCATTGACGGTAACTATCTCGGCGAAATTTCACGAAAAAAAGGGAAATTCGGCCTTGTATTGGCAGAATTGAACGAAAATAGGGAAGGTCGGGTTGTCACAAGTTGATTGTTCGAAAGAAGAAGGATCCCCAAATCACAAGTAAGGTAATACAAAGCTGATAGGAACAGCTTTACTGCAAGAAGATGAACTGAATAAAGGCTGTGCAACGAGCCAGCTGCCAGCTATGTCTGCACACCAGTTGTGTCCGCGAAGTTGGGTTGCTTTGCCTGAGCGACGAGTACTCTTGT